TTTTTTTTTTTTTTTTTTTTTTTTTTAAAGAGGCAGAGTCTTGCTGTCTCACCCAGGCTGGAGTTCAGTAACACAGTCATAGCTGATGGCAACCTTAAACTCTTGGGCTTAAGTGATCTTCCTGCCTCAGCCTCCCAAGTAGCTGAAACTACAGGCATGCACCACCATGCCTGGCTAGTGGGAAGCTTTTGAAAGTGCATGGAATGATCAGATTAACTATTTAGTTTATTTAATATTAAACTTACTTGTTTTGGATTGATAATACATTTATATAATAAAGTTTAAAATGTGCACGAAATATACAGTGAAGTCTTCCTTTCATCTCTATCCGTCAGTCACCAGTTTCCTCTTCCCAGTATATCTGTCCAATGTTGTTATACAGTATGTAGAGGACAGTGCATATACATTCTCCCCCCTTTTTTGTTTAGATGGTAGCATATTTCAAACACGTTTGCACCTTCTTTTCTTCCCTTAACTTAAACATACTTTCTCATTGTGTTTCATAATTTTATTTACTTAATCTTTAACTGCTGGTGTTAGGTGTATATGCACCTGCCACTTTCCACATGTATATGTGTATCTGCAGGATAAATTTCAAGAAATTGAATTGCTGGGTCAGAGGATACTGCCAAATTGCTACTGTAAAGTTTTTATCAGCTTTTTGACAACGAGAAATGTATAATTTACCTGTTTCCTCACATCTTTACCATCATGGTGTGTTATCAATGTTTATATCTTTGCCAATCTGATAGGTTAAAAAAATAGTATTTCAGTATGGTTTTAATTTGCATTTCTCTTTTTATGAGTGCAGTAGGTATTTTTACATATGTTCTAAAAACCATTTATATTTCTTTTGCGGGGAACTGTTTGTTTCTTTCACACATTTAAAAAGTTGGGTTGTTCTTTTCCTTAGTGATTTATAGGAACTCTATTTATTTGTTTGTTTGTTTGGAGACTAAGTCTTGCTCTGTCACCCAGGCTGGAGTGCAGTAGTGTGATCATGGCTAACTGCAGCCTTGACCTCCCAGGTTCAAGTGATCTTCCCACTTCAGCCTCCTGAAGAGCTGGAACTAAAAGCATGCCACCGTGCCTGGCAAATTTTTGAAATTGTTTTGTAGAGATGGGGGTCTCCCTGTGTTTCTCAGGCTGGTCTTGAACTGCTGGGCTCCATCGATCCTCCTGCCTTGGCCTCCCAAAGTGCTAGGAGTACAGGCATGAGCCTCTGTGCCTGGCCAGAGCTCTTTATATGCTAGGGAATTTGTTCTTTGTCTGTGATACAAACTGCAGATGTATTTTCTTCAGTTTTTCATTTAAGTTTTAATTATGATGGGTTGTTTGTTTTTACCACACAGACAATATTATATTTTATTTGGCTGAATTTATCAATTTTTTCCCCTTATGATTTCTGGAGTTTTGGAGTCATAATTGGAGAGATATTCCTTCTGCAAGGTTTTAAAAGAATTTTTTTCTTTCTTCTGGACCATCTGTCATTTTATTTTACATGTATATCATTGATCTATTTAGAGTTCTGGATAAAGTATGAGGTATGAAACCAACTTTTTTTTTTTTTCCCAGATGACTACCCGTTCATTTGTTCCACCATCATTTGAGTTTTTCCTTGTTGATGTGAGATGCTAATTATGTAAAATTCACATATGTATTTGACTTTATCTCTGGACTTTAAGACTTATTTGTCTCTATTTGCTAGTGTCTTGAGGTTTGGAGGTTTGACTGTCCAGTAGTGCCAGTTCTGCCCACCCCCATGCTTTTCTCATCACTCCTCTTTTTAATACATTTGTTTTCTTTCCCCATATGGATTTTTGGATCAATAATATCTAGTTAGAAAACCTATTGCTATGACATCAAGTTAAATTTATAAATTAAATTAGGGCACGTGTTGACATCTTTAAGATGTTGGTGATTCTGCCCTAAAACATGAAGGTATTTTTCCATTTGTTCATGTTTTGTTGTGTCGTTGTGTAAACTTTTCTTTATAAAGGCCGTGTAGGTTTCTTTTTAAGTTGTAGTAATTTTTTTGTTATTGTATCTCTTGGATTTTCTAGATATATAACTCTTTTATTTTAGACAAAGTCTCACTCTTGTCCCCTAGGCTGGAGTGCAATGGCATGATTTCGGCTCACTACAACCTCTGCCTCCTGGGTTCAAGTGATTTTCCTGCCTCAGCCTCCCAAGTAGCTGGGATTACAGGTGCCTGCCACCATGCATGGCTAATTTATATATATATTTTTAGTAGAGACATGGTTTCACCATGTTGACCAGGCTGGTCTCGAATTCCTGACCTCAGGTGATCCACCCGTCTCGGCCTCCCAAAGTGCTGGGATTACAGGTGTGAGCTCAAATAGTAGTAATGTTACTTATACCTTTCCAAATATTATATTTCTGATTTCTTCTCTAATTTTATAAGGTGGAAATTACAATACAATATTAAATAATATTTGTGTGCATAATAAACATAAATAATATATGTGAGCACAGTTTCTTTTCCTTGACAAGGGGGATAATTTCATCATTAAGCATAATACTGGTTTTCAGTTGAGTTGGAAATAACGTAATAGGCATATATGGAGAATGAATAGATTTTTCTTTTTTTTTTCTTTATTAGTGTACCAGTCTTTTAAAAAAATGAAAAAAAAAAAAAAAAAAAAAAAAAAAAAAAAAAAAAAAAAAAAAAAAAAAAGCGGCTCCAAAGATAGTCTTATACCATTCTTTAAAGAGGGAAACTTCCTTTTAACTTTATACCCACCCCACACCCCAATTTCAAAACATCATTTATTTGTCTTAGTCATGGACATTTCCAAGATAAGATTTTATATTTCGCTCCCATAGCTTCTTGTTATCAGAAAACCCATGCTTTCCTAGATGGAGTTTGGTCCAGCTGATGTTGGTGTATCCTCTCTAATATTCTTCATCCTCATCTTTGCTTCCAGAGGCATTTCTTTTGGTTCACTATCTTCATTAAAAGCTGCTGCTACTGAAAGTATTATTGGAGCAAGAGTAGGAACGTTTTCTTTAGACTTACTTGATCCAAGTTGGATGGATATGGCTGATGCTTTCTTTGTCGTCTGACTACCTATGGCAAATCCAAACTTGGAGATCTTTGTAGGCTTTGTTGGGAGGTCTGCAGCTTCTTTTTCAGCTGATCTCTTCTCAGCGCTGCGACTGGAACTTTCCCCTCTATTATTGGAAGAAACAGACTTAGTTTTCACAGGTTTTTCTGCTGCTGCTTCAGGTCCTCTGGTGGCTCCAGCTTGCTGCGACTTTTCAGGCTTCTCTCCCGTTGTCCCGTCCGCCATTTTCCCTGCCGTGGACTTCCCGTCGTTACTATTTTTAAAATGTTCTACAGGATTTTATTTGCTAATATTTAATTTGGGACATTCATAAGTGAGATTGGTCTGATATATTTACTTCTTTGGCCTTATATATATAACTATATATGTAAATATGTAGGATGTTTACACACTGGAGAACTTAGCCCTCTAGTGTTGAAAGCTAGAAGTTTTCCTTTTTACTTTTCCAATTTTCTGGAGCAATGGAAAAAGAACTGGGATAATTTGTTATTTCAGAGTTTGATAAAGTTTGATAGAACCCCCCCCTTTGTAACCATCTCAGTGTGTTGCTTTTTGTGGGGGATACTTTTTTGGCAACTTTACTTTTTCCTCTTTTCTTTTTTATTTATCGAAAGAAGAATTTAATGGTGACACTTTTTCTCTGGACGCTGTGTTAGGAACATCCTGTAAATTCTGATGTACTGTGTTTTAATTGTCATGGGGGAAGGTTTTTAGTAACAAAATCAGATTTTTAAATAGAGAACAGGGTTTTCAGGTTTTCTGTTTCTGTTGGTGTCAGTTTTTGCAAGTTTTATTTTCTAAGAAATGTGTTCATTTCAGGCCGGACATGGTGGCCCATGCCTTAATTGCAGCACTTTGGGAGGCTGAGGCGGGCAGATCACTTGAGGTTAGGAATTGGAGACCAGTCTGGCCAACATGATGAAATCCCATCTGTACTAAAAATACAAAAAAATTAGCAAGACGTGATGGTGGGTGCCTGTAACCCTAGCTTACTTGGGAGGCTGAGGCAGGAGAATTGTTGGAACCTGAGAGGTGGAGGTTGCAGTGAGCCGCCGAGATTGTGCCACTCTATTCCAGCCTATGCGACAGAGAGAGACTCCGTCTCAAAAAAAAAAAAAAAAAAGTGTTCATTTCATCCTAGTTGTCACGAAGTCATATTATCTTATGCTATCTTTTAATGTCTGTAGGATCTGTAGTAATAATAACTTTTTCATTCCTTTTATTGGTAATTTGGGTTTTCTTAATAGGTAAAATATACATATAATAAAATTTACTGTTTTAACCATTTTTAGATGTACAATTTAGTGGCACTAAGTACATTCAGAGTGTCATGCCATCATTACCGCATCCATCTTCAGAACGTGTTCATTATTCCAAACTGAAACTCTACCCATTAGATAATAACTCCCCACTCCCCTTTCCTCTGCTGCCTGGTAACTAGTTTCTACTTTCTGTCTCTGAATTTGCTTATTCTAGGTACCTCATATAAGTGAAATCACATAATAGTTGTCCTTTTGCATCTGGCTTACTTCACTGTGTGTTCAAGATTCATCCATGTAGCATATATTAGAATTTTCTTCCTTTTTTAAGGCTGAAAAATATTCCATTTTATGTAAATATCACATTTTGTTTATCCATTTGTTTATGGACATTTGGGTAGTTTCTACCTTTGGCTATGGTGAATAATGCTTCTCTGAAAATAGGTGTACAAATACCTATTCCAGTTCTTGCTTTTAATTCTTTTGGATATATACCCAGAAGTAGAATTGCTGGATTTTATCGTAATTCCATTATTAATTTTTGGAGGAACCACCATACTGCCTTCCATGGTGGTTCTGTCATTTTACATTCCTACCTGCAATACCCAAGGGCTCCAGTTTCTCCACATCCTTGCCAACACTTTCCTTTTTTCATAATAATTATCATAGTAGGTGTGGAGTGGTATCTCATTGTGGTTTTGATTTGTATTTATCTAATGGTTGGTAATGTTGAACATCTTTTTATGGGCTTCTTGGCCATTTGTATATTTTCTTGAGAGAAATGTCTGTTCATATCCTTTGTTTATTTTACAAATGGGCTTTTTTTTTCTTGTTGAGTTTTAGAAGTTCTTTATGTATTCTGTATATTAACCTCCTATCAGTTACATGCTTTACAAATGTTCAAAGAACTAGCTTTTAATTTATTAATTTTCCTTACTGTCACTATGTTTTCCATTTTATTGATTTCTGTGATTTAAACTTAATTCTCCCTATAGATTATTAATATTATTATTATTTTTTCTTATATAGGAGTAATCTACTGTCACACAGCCTCTACTGTAAGGTTGTCAGCCCTTAGACCTCCTTTTGTAACTTAGCATGTTTGGATATATTTCTGCTCCCAAAGGAATGAAGAGCAGTTATTTCCTCCTGCAATCTCCATAGATTAGAAATTACATTTTCCTCTAGAAGCATTCAGATTATCAAATTTACCTGATACATGTGTGAGGATATATTTTCTTATATATATTGTTTGGTTATTTTGTTTTCAGTGAATTTGTGAGGGTTGTTTCACTCTACAATTAGGAAATAGCAGTTCAAAAGCATGCTTGTACATTCTTATCTTTTCATTGTAGTACAAAATTATGTTACTGTAAGCATTAATGATGTTGATTTCAATTTATAAATGCAAATATATTCAAAGCACAGTAGGAATTTTATTTAGAAAATTCTTTTAATGTCAATGTTCTTTAAATGTACTTAAAATTCTCTTATAGATGAGGAAGCTGATTTTGGATGGATCTCTACAATTAATCCAAGAAGGTCTCAAAAGTGGTTTTCTTAATCCACTTTTTGAAAAACAGGACAAGTGTAGTAAGCCCATTATTTTACCACTTGACACCTGCAATTTGTCAGAATTATGTGAAATGGCAAAGCATTTGCCTTCTCTGAATGAAATGGAACATCAGACATTGCAATTGTTGGAAGAGGGTACATCCGTTACTGAACAAGATTTATTTTTACGAGTTGTTGAAAACAACTCTAGCTTTACAAAAATGATTACTTTAATGGGACAGAAATACCTGCTGCCACCGAAAAGCAGTTTTCTTTTATCTGACATTTCTTGTATGCAACCACTTCTGAACTGTAAGTAATTATTGTGTTTGTTATTAGGAAAATATAATTTTTTGTGGGCTAAGAAGTTAAGAGCTAGTCTGAAATTTGAATATGGGTCACTGTTTATGAGGATAGGGCAAACACTTCCTCATGTTATTTTTCTTTTCGATTCAATTTTAAGGGGCTGACTTTTGCTTTTTTTAAAAAATAAGTTTTTATTATGAATAAAGAGTCAAAAACTAGTTTCTAAGAGAACAAATATAGTTATTTCTCTGTACTGAGGAATTCAGTATACAGTTGGGATTCACTATACAGTTGTGATTCACTATACAGTTGTGTTTCACCAAATCACTTAACTTTTTTTCATAGCAAAGTAGAAACACTTCGGTTATGAATATCAATTGCCAAAGTATTCCTAGCTTTGTATAAAGGATACATTTTAAGCTAATGTTCAAGCTCATTGTCTAAAATTTCTTGAAACTTTTTCCTGTACAAAGTTAAAAAATTTAAATATTGAAGTCCACAGTCACACAGACCTGTATTTGGCAATAGATTCTGACACTTATTTAACTATGAGTCTTTGGGGTACTCATTTCACAAAACTGAGCCCCAGTCTCCTAATTTATAAAACAGATATGATAATACCTGCTTCCTAGGGTCATTTTGAGGTATATTGATAAAATTGAATTTAATGTGCTGTTTATTGTTGTTTGAACATTTTATAGCAAAATTTTAAGTTATTGAGCAACTACAACACAACTTACTAATGAAAAGCTTCTTTTAATTGCTATTAAGCCATCTTACACATGAGTGGTTATCCATTTAGCAGTGCCATAAGTTCTTCAGAGTAAATGACAGGATAACAAATTAATGAGAAAACCATGCTATGCATGAACATTTTTTCTCTTCTTTTTGATCTTTGTTACTCTAATAGCTTAAAAAGTGTTACCTCCTTATTTTAATTTGCATTCTTTTGATTACTTATGAAACTGTACACATTTATAAAAACAGACCTGTGTTTATAAAAGTGGGGGAAGGGACAGCTCTTCCTTACAATAAAATTCCTATTAATAAATGAATGGAATGATGGATCTGGAGAATTTCCATTTGACAAACATCATAATAATTGGATGTCAAAGTAGTGGGTGAAAAGATGAAACAGGATATTTTCATGGTCTTAAAGTATCTCCTCTCAAGATACTTGTTAATTACAAGGGAAAAACTGGAGAAACTCGGCAGACAACACTTTAACCAAAGACTTTTTGACATCCTTTACTTCTTGACATGGTGCACTTACAGGGCAGGGCAGGCATTACTTTGGCGGTCCTCTTGCCAAAAATAAATAATCTAAATTTAATCATGAGATAATACTAGACCCAGATTGAGGGACATCCTATACAACAATTGGTAGCATTTAAAAGTTTCAAAATCGTAAAAGATGAAGAAAGACCAAGGAGCTTTTCGGGGTTGGAGGAGAGTTTGGAGGGATGGCAGCTAATTGCAATGTTTGACCCTGGCTTTGATCCTGGGTCAGAAAAAGTACATTAGTAAATAATTGGGGAAGTTTTATTATGGTCAATACATCAGCTATAAAGGCTGAAATTATTTTTAAAATAAAAAGTAAAAAAAAAAAAAAAAAACATATCCTAGGCTGGGTGCAGTGACTCACGCCTATGATCCTACCACTTTGGAGGCCAAGTGGGAAGAATATGATAATATTTAATATAAAATTTTCAAGGTTGGATGACCTTGAAGTTTGCTGACAATGTGATATAGGAGATTGTAGGCCGACATCTGGCA